AAGCTGTCTACAGGACAGTCTTATGTTTCTAAGATAACTAAAGCTGGAGAGACTCGACCCTTCTGTCACTTCTGAATTAATGGTATAATAAAATGCCTGAGCTATGTAGCACAGGGAATGGGTCTCTGCACAGATTCTTTTTTTCTGTCAGTAAAACTTTCCCCTCAGGCAGGTTTTTAAGTTGTGTGTCTGAATGATCTTGTGTAAGGTTTTGGTTATGGAGTCTTGTGCCAAGCGTAATGGGCCGTTAGCCCTTCACCATCTACCTGCGTGGTCTTTTATTGCTAAGACTAACTCAAGATAATTCTGGAGTTTTAAGCATTTCAGGCCAGGTATGGTGTCTCACACCTGTAGTCCTTGCTATTTGAGAGCCTGAGGTGGGAGGATCCCTTAAGCCTAGAAGGTGGAGTTTGCAGTGAGCTGAGATTGTACCACCGTACTCCAGCCTGGGGTGACAGAGTAAGACCATGTCACAAAAAAAAAAAAGAAGCATTTCAGAAGGTAAGTAAACAGATTGTGAGGCTTCTAATAAAGTAGTTAATAGTAGTGAATGTGCTGTTTATAGCAGATTGGGTCTCCATAATCTTTTTGGCACTACGTAGGTAGGGGTGATTAGTTTCTATTACTTTAAGATTTGAAACAGAAAGGGAAGTCCTGTTTGCGGATGATTTTTCTTGTTCTTTAACCTAATGGAAAATAAAAGAAAGATATACCATGGCTTGCCTTGTGGCCTTTGTTTATGGTTTTGTTGAGGCAAAGTTTTGCTCTTGTTGCCCAGGTTGGAGTGCAATGGTGCGATCTCGGCTCATGCAACCTCCACCTCCCGGGTTCAAGTGATTGTCCTGTCTCAGTCTCCCGAGTAGCTGGGATTACAGGCGGCTGCCACTAGGCCCGGCTAATTTTTGGTATTTTTTTTTAGTAGAGACAGGGTTTCATCATGTTGGCCAGGCTGGTCTTGACCTCCCAAAGTGCTGGGATTACAGGCGTGAGCCACTGCACCTGGCTCTGGCTTTTGTTTGTATCTCGTAAGTCTGTGGTTGTGCAGATCTGGTACTTGCCTAGATTATTTTACTTCAGGGTTTTGGGTTACGTCTTTTCCTCTCCTTCAGACTTCTACGTGGAGTTTTAACTAGCTCTTCTAACTTCAAAGGGACTCTCAGCTAGTATTGAGAGAAGAGGCAGTTGAAATCTCTGCTGCTGCCTATTGGTACCACTGCCTGCAGGGACATAGAAAGACTCGACTCAAATTAATGTTGCATTGTTTCTGGGTTTTTTTTTGTTGTTGTTTTTTGAGATGGAGCTTTGCTCTTGTCACCCAGGTTGGAGTGCAATGGTGTGATCTTGGCTTACTGCAGCCTCCACCTCCTGGATTCATGGAATTCTCCTGCCTCATCCCCCGGAGTAGCTGGGATTACAGGCGCCCACCACACGCCCTGCTAATTTTTGTATTTTTAGTAGAGACAGGGTTTTACCATGTTGGCCAGACTGGTTTCGAACTCCTGATCTCAAGTGATCTGCCCGCCTCAGCTTCCCAACGTGCTGGAATTACAGGCGTGAGCCACCATGCCCAGCCCTACAATGCTTTAACAGCAGTTCTAGCCAGGCACGGTGGTCCATGCCTACAATCCCAGCACTTTGGAAAGCTGAGGTGGGTGGATTATGAGGTCAGGAGATCGAGACCATTCTGGCCAATATGGTGAAACCCTGTCTCTACTAAAATAGAAAAAATTAGCTGGGCATGGGGGTGCACGCCTGTAGTCCCAGCTACTCAGGAGGCTGAGGCAGGGGAGTCGCTTGAACTCAGGAAGTGGAGATTGCTGTGAGCTGAGATGACACCACTGGACTCCAGCCTGGCAACAGAGCAAGACTCCCATGTCAAAAACAAAATAAAACAAAGCAGTTCTAGTCTCTTTTTTTCTTTTTGTCCTGAGATGGAGTTTCCCTCTGTTGCCCAATGTGGAATGCAGTGGCACAACTCACTGGAACTGCCACCTCCTGGTTTCAAGCAATTGTCCTGCTTTAGCTTCCTGAATAGCTGGGATTATAGGCGTGTACCATCACGCCCGACTACTCTTTGTACTTTTAGTAGAGACATTTCTTATTGTTCTGACCAGGCTGATCTTGAACTCCTGACATAAGGTAATTCGCCTACCTTGACTTCCCAAAGTTCTGGGATCACAGGTGTAAGCCACCATGCCCAGCCTCTCTCTTAAAAGAGTAAGAAGAATCAGGGACTGGGCCAGGCGTGGTGGCTCACATCTGTAATCCCAACACCTTGGGAAGCCAAAGTGGGTAGATCACTTGAGGCCAGCCTGTGCAACATGGTGAAACACTGTCTGCACAAAAAAATTAAAAATGAAAGTTATTTGGGCATGGTGGCACATGCCTGTAGTCCCCAGCTACTCCAGTGGCTAAGGTGGGAAGGTCATTTCAGCCTGGGAGGTATTGGTTGTAGTGAGCCCTGATCACACCATTGCACTGCAGCATGGGTGACAAAGCAAGACCCTGTCTCAAAAAAAGTCAAAGATTGAAAACTAGCATTGTCAATGTCCCTGGAAGCCAGAGGCCAAATGGAGGTTATGGGACTCTTTTTTTCCCTTTACCTCATTTCACTAGTTAGGACTTACAACCCAGATCCTACCCAAAGTGCTCAGTGACCGTTTTTCTGTTTTTAAAATAAACTTAATGTATGTTTAACATATACAACATGATGTTATGAGATATTAATACATATAAGGAGGCTGTGTATGTAATGGTTCACGCTTGTAACCCCACCACTTTCGGAGGCCAAGGTGGGTAGATCACCTGAGGTCAGGATGAGTCCAGCCTGGCCAACATGGTGAAACCCTATCTCTACTAAAAATACAAAAATTAGCCGGGTGTTGTGGCAGGCACCTGTAATCCCAGCTCTTTGGGAGGCTGAAGCAGAAGAATTGCTTGAACACTGGAGGCAGAGGTTACAGTGAACTGAGATCATGCCACTGTACTCCAGTCTGGGTGACAGAGTGAGACTCCATCTCAAAAAAAAAAAAAAAGGTGAGAAAAATATATATATATATATATATATATATATATATATATATATAAGTAAAATGGTCTTAAATGTCCTATGACACCGATTTCCTTGCCAGGAAGAGTAAAGTCCTCAGCCTGGTCTGGCTCAAGTACCTTTTCCTCGGAATGTGCGTTATTGGTGGCTGGGCCAAACCCTGTTTTCCATACAGAATAGTCAGTGTTCCTAAAAATGATAAATATTTAAAACCTCTTATTCACACCTTAATCTTTTGGTGGCAGGTCTCACCTGAGCTGACTAGAAATAAAAGCTACAGCCTTGCTGGAAAGCCCTCTCAGTGCCACTGTGCAAGATGTCATCCAGAGCTTCCTAAAGGTACTGAGGTGGACGGGGGGTGCGGGTGACAGAAATACCGGAGTTAACTTTGCTTTTCCTATGGACATTATTGAGACCCTAATTAGGAAGGGTTTCTGGTAGGGGGGCAATTTTGTGTTTGCCTGTTCCTTGGGAAAATCACTGGAGAAAGATGGATTCCCAGAGCCACTGAATCTAGGTTTTAGACCAAAAAATATTAGAATTGAGTATATCTCAAGTCCTTTTTCATTACTATACCACAAAATAAATGAGGTAGTATAATAAAGACAGTGATATTCTGGAGTAAGAGGTTGGTTCTTAAATAAAAGCATCTTTTTTTTTTTTTTTTGAGGCATAGTTTCACTCTTGTTGCCCAGGCTAGAGTACAATGGTGCGATCTCGGTTCACTGTAACCTCTGCCTCCCAGGTTCAAGCAATTCTGCCTTAGCCTCCTGAGTAGCTGGGATTACAGGCCTGCGCCACCGTACCCGGCTTTTTTTTTTTTTTTTTTAAAGTAGAGATGGGGTTTCACTATGTTGGCCAGGCCGATCTCAAACTCTTGGCTTCGAGTGATCCAACTACCTCGGCCTCCCAGAATTCTGGGTGGGATTACAAGCATGGGCTACCACACCCACCCTAAGCATTTCAGTCTTAAATACCTTATAAATGAATTTGACCTAGAAAGTTGTCTTACTTTTTCTTCTAGGTGGAATTAGGGGTTTGTGCTGGTGGCTCTAAGAATGAACATAAGACTGGCAAGGGAGTACCTGCTTAGTTGCAGTAGGCCTTGTTTAGGCTAAAAATAAGCCCAATACCAGCTGGACACAGTGGCTCATGCCTGTAATCCCAGCACTTTGGGAGGCCAAGGCAGATCACCTGAGGTCAGGAGTCTGAGAGTAGCCCGACCAACATGGTGAAACCCTGACTCTAGTAAAAATACAAAATTAGCTGGGTGTGGTGGTGCATGTCTGTAATCCCAGCTGCAGTGAGCTGAGATCATGTCATTGCACTCCAGACTGGGCAACAAGAGTGAAACGCCGTCTCAAAAAATAAGCTGAATTACCTGTATTTTACATACTGGAAAGAGCATTAACTGTAACCTGCCTGCAGTAGCCTCTATCGTCAAACAATTATGGAGATGTCAAACAAGACTAAAAAGCTGATAACATCAGATTTGTTTTATTTCAAATTTGTAACAAAATATATTCTAGGCAACTTTTCAGACATCATTTTATAGCATCATCATAAACCCTGTACCACTGCTATCATTCCAAAAGCTGCTAGAACTCTGGAAGTCATCAAGTGGTCCAGCCCTTCAGCCCAGGAATACAGGTAGAATTCACATGATAGGTGGTAAGAAACCAATGTCCGTGGGCCACTCTGATCCCTCCTTTTTACCCTGGTAGGTAAGGTATGATCTTAGGAATGTATATTTATATATATGTTTATGTTTATATTTATATATATTTGTGTGTGTTGAATATTAGTCAGTGAAAAAGTTAAAGTGACAAGTTCTATGCTTTGTTCTCGTAGCTCTTTGAAGTTATCCACCTCACCAGCAGTTGGAAGGTCTCAGGTCTAGCAGGCTCCACCCATGTGTAATCCTGGGGCAGGTGTGCATCTTGATTTTTTCCCCCTAGAGATCACTCAAGGGAGAGAACAGCAGCAACCCAGGCCACCAGTACTTCCCCAATTTTAGATTAGGTTAAGAGGTTAGAATAAATTACCCGATGGGGAATGGCAGTAGGTGGCAGTCAGACCCAGAAGTCAGATTTGAGTATTTGCCTGATCTCAGGAATGTCTAAGAAAAAAAAAAGCTTTGACTTTTATAGTGGCATCAAGTCATGAAGGCCAGTGAAATGTGCTTAGTCTCCTAAAATGACTTCTAATTCCTCCAGGTCCTTCTGGAGAGCCAAATCCTAGGGAAACAAAGAACAAATTTAGGACTCAAAATTTAAGCCAGCATTTTCCCAGACCCGTGGAACCTGAGAACAGGGGCCCTCTGCTTCCTTCCTGAGCTCTGTTATATTCTTTTTCCTACTTTCTCAGGATAGCCTGGAGCCCATGAAATCTGTCTCGTCCCCTAGAGGTAGACTGTGTTTCGTTCCCTAGGAAAGATTTTTTCCTAAAAGATGTCACATGATGATTCAGTTAAGACAGGCAGTTTTTCTTTTTTTTTTGAGACAGAGTTTTGCTTGCCCTGGCTGGAGTGCAATCTCGGCTCACTGCAACCTCTGCCTCCCGCCTAGCTGGGATTATACACATGCAACACTATACCCATCTACTTTTGTATTTTTAATAGAGACGCGGTTTCTCCATGTTCATCAGGCTGGTCTCAAACTCCCAACCTAAGGTGATCCACACAGACAGGGAGTATTTAAAAAGCATTACTGCTGGGTGCGGTGGCTCAAGCCTGTAATCCCAGCACTTTGGGAGGCCGAGGTGGGTGGATCACGAGGTCAAGAGATCGAGACCATCCTGGTCAACATGGTGAAACCCCGTCTCTACTAAAAATACAAAAAATCAGCTGGGCATGGTGGCGCGTGCCTGTAATCCCAGCTACTCAGGAGGCTGAGGCAGGAGAATTGCCTGAACCCAGGAGGCGGAGGTTGCGGTAAGCCGAGATCGCGCCATTGCACTCCAGCCTGGGTAACAAGAGTGAAACTCCGTCTCAAAAAAAAAAAAAAAAAAAAAAAAAAAAAAAAAAAAAAAAGGCATTACCTCCTTAGTGACATCTGGCAGCTCCAGGGCCAACTTCATCCACCATCTAGCTTCAGAGTTTTTCCCTAGTTCTCTGTAGCACTGAAAACAGACAACAGTGAAACCTGAGAGAAATAGTATCAAGGAGACTGGAAAAGGGTGAATATGTGTGCTTTCAGGAGTTCCCAGAACTATGTTGAAGTAGACAAGTGAGTTTACCTTGGAAATATATACCCTTCCTGCTTTGGAAAATCCTGGCTGTAGTTCTTCAGCCTGGGAAAAGGGACAAAGGTATTTCAGTAAGAGGTTCCTATATTCTAATCAGGCTGAAGTTTATGAGAGATTTCTAGTCCCCAACCATGTGGCTAATTCAGTGGGTCTGAAGAAGAAATCTGTATTTTTGATAAGGTGTGCAAGTGATTCTGATTTTCCCATAGAACAAGCAAACACAAAATTGCCCCCTACCAGGAAAACCTTGTAAAAAACAAGGTTACCCTGGTGTTTTTCCCTGCCACCCACCCCTCTCTGATACCTTTAGGAAGCTCTGGAGGGCATCTTCCACAGTGGCACTGAGAGGGCTTTCAAGCAAGGCTGTAGCAGTTTTTTTTTCTAGCCAGCTCAGGTGAGAGACCTGCCACCAAAAGATGAAGGTGTGAATAAGAAGTTTTAAAGGTTTTTTTAATCTTTGAAAATGTACTGAAAACAGGGTCAAAAGGGCCTGGGTCCAACCACCAATAATATTCAGAGGAAAGGGCACCTGAGCCAGAGCAGACCAAAGATCTTGTTCTTTCTGGCAAGGAAATCAGTGCCAGAAGGCATTTAGGACCATTATGTCAAGCCCTGAAATGCAGCTTACCTGATAGCACCACCTGCCAAGAAGAAAATGAGCCATGGGATTTTCTGGCTGGAGAGCAATGGCTTTGTCCACATGCTCCTAAGGGGAAAATGTAAACTAACATCAGACACGAGAGTTGCTAAGAGCAGCAAGGGCCAGACGCGGTGGCTCATGCCTGTAATCCCTGTACTTTGGGAGGCCGATACAGGCGGATGACCTGAGGTCAGGAGTTGAAACCAGTCTTCGCAGTCCTAGCCAACCTGGTGAAACCCTGTCTCTACTAAAAATGCAAAAATTAGCTGGGCATGGTGGTACATGCCTAATCCCAGCTACTTGGGAGGGTGAGGCAAGAGAATTGCTTGAACCCAGGAGGAGGTTGCAGTGAGCCAAGATCACACCACTGCAGTCCAGCCTGGACAAGAGAGTGAGACTGCCTCAAAAAAAAAAAAAAAAAAAAGGAGAGGCAAGTCACTGAGGCTGTAGAAAAGCCTTTGGCAGGGAGCCAGAAAGGAGCAGGGAGTCTGGGATAGGCCAGTACAAGGAAGAAGCTTGTCCTTACCTTGAAGCTAAAGCCACTCTGGATGCGCCTCTGGATGCTCTCATGCTCAGCCAGCTGACCACAAAGCACTGCATACCTAGGGGGGAAGCAGCAAGCTCAGGGACAAGGACTAAGCAGCATCACTGCAAGGAATGATGTCCCACCAACAGCCTAGTGGCATTGTCCCCTGTCCCTCTACCCTCAACTAGAGCTGAAAATGCCTAATTTTAATCTGTATGTAATCCCCTCTCTTCACAGACCTCTGGCCCTAATTAGTATTCTTTAGTAGATCACAGTAAGCTTAAAAGTCTCCAAAGGATTCTAGGTATAAAAAAGCAGGGACTACCACAGTAAATCTCTTACACTTAAGAATATTTAGGCAAGTTCTCAGTCCAAATTTCCCTTCATAAAGAGTACTGCCAAAGGCATT